CCCCCCCCGGCCTCTCTCTCTTCTCCTGCCGATTACGTGATCAGAAACGACTAAAATTTCCAGCATCTGCACTGGTCGAGCCATCACGTGGATTCCTTAGACAGCGGCGGAGCTTTAGGCTGGCCGAGAACCCCGAGGCCACGCGTGAACAGCGCCATCGACGTGGCCGGCTTCCTGTCCCAGGTGAGTAATCGAGCCGGGAAAAATCCACGCTACGAAACGAGATCGATGGATTACGCGAGGTGGACAGCCGCGTCCTCGAACCCGCCGATCGATCTGACGGCGCGATTTCGCGACCTTCCCCGGAATGGACGAAGCCCGCCGCCGTTGCCGTCGACGTCGAAGCCGACGTCGCCGTCGCGCTGGTGATGGGCGCGTAACCATGCCGGGCAGACATTTTCCGATTATAGCAATCGAGATGATTGAAATCGGAAATCAGTGAAGTCGACGATGCAAGTTACAAGGGTGGACTTTAACTAGGCGGTAGTTCCGCCCGGTCGAGGAGATAGGCAGCTTAGAGTCTCTTTACAATGAAACGAACGACGTCGCTACAACCTGGTCTCGCCGAGGTCGATACACGTACTATGCGCGAATACCCAAGAGATCGAAAGGCAAGCGAGTGCGAGGAAGAGTGTAATTTTACGTCAAATTGAAGTCCGTATACCTTGGAGCTCGCTCTCAAGCCGATCTATAACATATTAATGTTTTTCACTGTAATATGTATCTATAACACGTGGAGACGAAACAATACACTCAGGTGCGTCGAGAGAATCACGCGAGGACTCTCTAAATTTCTTAGAGTGAAATCTCTAGAAGTCAAATCTCTGGAGACAAGTCTTTTGGAGTGAAATCTCTGAAAACGAGGGAAAATTCACTCGATAACGAGAACACTTGGAATTGATAACTATTGGAAAATACCGCCACTTGGAGTCGCAAGAGTAAATGTTAAACTCAAACTTAGAATGAATTTTTAGATTCGCGCGACTTTTCGATCAATTTATTTCTATGATGATGGAGCACATCAGATTCACTGTTCGACTTCAAATAAAAATATGAATGAAAAGTTATCCGAGTGTGGCTCAGCTGTCAGTCTGTTTGTCAAATGGAATTTCACTCAAAGAATTTTCGAGAGTAAGACGGATCGTTAGGCGACAGAGAACGGAATCGTGACGGGCAAGCAAAGTTACTTCTACAATCTCGTGGATACGCGCATGGAATATACACGATACATGTCGTATCAATTTATTATTAAGGAGAATTTATATATATATATATATATATATATATATATATATATATATATATATATATCAATGCTATCGTGTGCGTCCCCGAGCGTTCAATATATAATTCATTGCTCTCTATCACGACGGGACAGCTCTCTCTCTTTCTCTGTCCTTCTCTCTCTTTCTCTTCCCCTTTCTCAAGTTATCGCAAACGATGATCATGATATGTCGCGGCCGAAAACCGCGTGGTTTTTCCTTCGGGGTTCACGAACGAACGAATACGCGCGCGTACACGTCGTTGCGGTCCCGCACGCCCGATTGTTACACGACTATTATAGTTTCAGATCACGCGTTTCGCCATATATTGTTAACGTAACGCAACGAAGTCGAAGAGAATAACCATGTCCCTCAGTGTGCGACAGTTATTTCAATAAATAATGAACACGAAAGAGTTCGTGCGAAAGAGATACCTCTCAAACGTCAAAGTTCAAGGTAGTCTGAGGTGAAGTGTAGTGCACCGGATGATCGATATGTTCGTTGGATTACTTGTAAGGAAATGGACAAATTTACTTTCGCCGCATGTGAACGATGTGTGTATTATGTCCCTGAGCCGCGTACTTCGTCAAATCGGCACTAATTGAATGTCTACTTATTATACATCTGTCCTTCACTTCGTCGTATACATATATATATATATCTCTCTCTTTTTTCTCTTTCTCTCTGTTTCTCTTTTTCTCTCTGTTTAATCTCCTTATAATTCACGTCATACTAGGACACACACGCCACTATAAATACCGCAATGGGCACGACAATACCGACAACAATCGGCTCGCAATTGGCACAATACTAGCACGGTAATGTCGTTAATAATATAAGGATCTCTGCTTGGTGTTCAACGCCGATATTGCACACGTGATTTACCACATACAGCGTGCATCGTCCGTTTCTGTGACGTCCAATGTGCACGGAATTGACGGGCCGAACAAGCTGCTAATTAATCTCGCGCCTGATTTCATAGATGAATTGCGAACAAAAGATATTCGCGAGGAAAATGAGAAAAATAACGTCATACACTTTTCTCTCACACATAGCTACGCGATATATTATTCTTTCCGTTTCGCAAACCCACCAACTGTAATAAACGAATCTTCCCTCGCTAAGACCGACCACCCCATAGAAACGCGAATCACAATATTAGGCACATACATACATATACACACACACACATAGTTACAGATAGCGTTAGTCGACGTCGCAATATTTCGAATTCAGAGTTCGTATGTGATTTGACAACAAAGTACGACGCGACTCGTAAGCGACAGCGCGCATATTACGGTTACCGCAACGAAAACACGGTGTGTTCGACGAGCTCTTACCACCCTAGTCGTTCTCGTCATTCCACTCACGCGTCGACACCACCTGTTCACCGGAAAGCTCGTCGTATTACACGCTGAATGGCGCACTACGTGAAAACGTGTCCGTGAACAGTCTAGTCTCTCTAGTGTCAGAGGCTCCACACAGCAGCGGGAGCCTCTTCCTTTCCCGATCACACGTCTACACAGTCATCCCTCAGCGTGCACTTTGTGCCTTGCGGTTACAGGAATTCCTCCGACGTCACGGGTCCACGTCGAAGTTGTGCCGTAAGGTTCGCAGTGCAGATAACTTACCTCTCGCGTCGACGAATCGCCAAGATCCGCGCAGAAACTCCAAGGACGAAGGTGTCGAGGGCGACCGCGAATCCTTTCTGAAGCCGAGTCAAGACGACAGGTCCGAGGATCAGGACTCGAGGAGACAAAGCAGCCTCGACAGCGCGCCGAAGGACAATACGGAGACGTCGCTGTTGGAGCCCAATAATCTACAACCCTCCTCGAGGTGAGTCGCACGTTCACGATATTGCTAACTGCCAGTCGAATTCCGGCATCCTCGCTTCTTCTCTTCGGGCTCGACCCTTCGATTGACGGTCATATTGATTTCCGAGTGTACATTAATTGTTTTTTTTTTTATAACCGTTTATATCTAGTTCTGGAGATTCGCGTAAAAAAACATAGTGACACAGCTGATTTTCCTGAGAAGACTCCAAACGTGCAATGTCTGCGAAACTATCTCCTTGAGAAGTAAACAATATTAGAACGTGTGAGAGAGAATTAAATTAAATCGCCCGCGGCAATTCAATTAGTATCCCTCACGGCTCCTGTTACGCCAAATTTATCACGACTAACGTCGTTGATCTGACTCGCCTGTTGACACCGAATATCCAATTAATTTGGCCAAAACTTTGCACGTAGTCTCTGTACATAAGATACAAGCTCACTCCATCGTATCAGACTATTGGGCAACGGCTTCGATCACCTGTTCAATTTTTTGAGATTATCCCTTTTTCACTCACAAAAGTATCATCCAAGAACATTTTTGGGATCTTGAAAAGATCTTGGAAAGACTTAGAGAACGAATGAAGACCGATTGAATATATTTTTCTCGAGATATGTCGCGGGAATCCTTGCCTTGATTTTTTATTCTTTCCTTCACAAAAATATCATCCAGAAAAATATTTTTGGGATCTTGAAAAGATCTTGAAAAAACTCAGAGAATGAATAAAGGTTTATTGATTATATTTTCTCGAAATATGTCGCGAAAATTTGGCGAATGTCGCGGGAATCTTCGCCTCGATATATTGCTGGGCTGTCTAAGAGATTCGTATTTGCCAGTTGCAGCGTGGAAACAATACCCTTATAATTCGCCGAGTCTCGGACGGATTCGCACGCTTCCTGACGCCGATTTGGCCGATAGTAATTTATTAAGTGGTACCGTCAAACCATCACGCTCTCTCAAGATACGCAAACGAGACACGAGAAGAGACTTTAACGTTAACCTGTCGCCTGTCGAGATGTCGCGTGCCTTAGACGGCTTTATGTTGACCGTAGAACGCAAATTGCTCCAGCTGCATCTAATGCACCTAGTTGAGCCATGTTCACTTCAAGTCCCGACCGCGCCGCGACTCCGTCCCTCCTTCTTGCGATGTATCGCCCTCCCGATAGCATTTTTGCTTGAAAGTCATTAAAACGGTTTCACGTGCGTTTGCATAATAGAAATCACCGAACGGCTCTCTCCTCACGCGGTGCATGTGCAAGCAGTTTTTCCTTGCGTTCTTTGCTTAGTGAATTTTAATGATTGCATTAAAAGCATGCGTGTTTTATGATATTTTTACGGTTATTCGATTACATCTGCGTAAGCAGAAATATCATCGCTACGGGCAGCTTTTAGATTGTGAGGCGGAAATGCGATCGCGGCGCGCTACGTGAACAAATATTATTCTAATAAACTTCGAACTCGTCAGCGTTTTTTATTCAAGTTTCTCTCTCCGAGGGAAAACGCCCACGAGGGATAACGCCGTGGGCGTTAAAAATCGCGGAATTAGCGAATTTAAACCTTAACAGCAGGCGGAAAATTCAGGACTTTCTAAAGCCGTCAAAAGACGGCTGTTTCTCTCAAGTTCGCGTTTTGTGCGAGACACTCTGTATATCTCACGCGAATTTATTCAATATGTATTCCCTAAAACGAAATGAAATTTCCTTGGAGTAAAATTTCCCTCGAAAAGCAGAGTGACAGCCGAGGCACTCAAATTGGAGTTATTTCTCGCTCCTACAGAGTGAATTTTCCACTCAGAATCATTGAGTGAATATCTTCATTCGAGTTTGTAGAGTAGATCTGACGCGTTCTACTTCCAGGGGAAAAAATGTTCATTTCACTCGATTGAAGCATCCGCTCATATGGAGTCAGAATCCACTCTGATCTTGAATGAAACATTAGGTCTGTTTTTTTTAATTGAATCCGACTCTGAGTCCGAACTGTTGCAGACAAATATATTTTGTTTCATTCAAACTTATTACACTAGTATGCGTTAGTCCAGGCAGTTCAGCTGAAAAAAACAGAGCTATTCACTCTTGTGGTTTCGAGCTGCAGCATTTTCACGATTGCGTCGAGTGAGAATGCTTCCACTGTTCGCTCCAAGAAATTTAAAGAATAAAGCTTCACGCTCTTCAGCTATCTATGTCACGATCATCGAGACCGGATAAATGTGAATTCATACGCATGCATTTCACGTTTCACGCATTTTCTATAACAATTAATTGTTTTGCCGATCCGCGAATTGAATCATGTATAACTACGCCGCGATATTCACGTCAGTAACGTTGCCGGTTTTATTAAACGTTGTTATTTTGCCACTGAGAAATACAATGTACAGTGTAAATAGAATTTTACGTGCAGGCCCGTCGAGCCGAATTAAATTCAGCACTCACGCATGAATATCATTGTAAATCACGATAAATACCACCGTTCGTGCGTGTTTCGCGTAATTTGCGAGATTTTTCCACGACCAGCTAATTGTTTAGTTAGAAAGTATGTCGGTATTGATAAAAGTGTTATTAAATATCTATACGTGTTTAAGAGAGATACCGATAGATAGAGAAAAAATACCGATAGTTAACTATTAATATATTTTGTAAAAAAATAAATATAAATAAGTGAAATAAATCAAGAGTTTACGTTAGTAGAAATTTGTCAGCAACATCGAACGAGAGGACGTCAATAAAGATTGAAATAATACAAAAGAACGGGGCAGATTTTAATTAAAATATGTCGATACGTTAATTCTCGCCGGCGTATAGAGCGGCTAAAGGAGATGCAGTTTCCAGATAATCAAGTAAAATTCATTTCCACGGTATTCATTGCTAAATCACTATTCCAAGTAATTGAGAGATCGCTTCTTTAAATTCCTACATCATCTAGATATATTTGAGGTAACGAATATTTCGATTTATATTAATGTTTCATATTATATCATATATATATATGATTTTAAATGAAAACATATTTATATTTTTAATTTAACAGTTCAATGATTTATCCAATAAAACTTCTCAATTATTTCAAACAATATGTATACAAAGTGAGATATATTAATTAATTAAGATAATTTTGAATTAAATTAATCGGCAAATTAATAGTCAAAATTAATCAATCGTCATATGTAAAATCGCAAATAATTGTATCGTTTGAGGATATTAATTATTAATTAATGTACAATGAATTACATAAAAATTCGATTAATAATCAATATCACTAATTGATAAAATTATTTGTGATTTTACATATGACAGTTGTTTAATTTTGATTATCAATTTTGATTATTAATTTTTAATTCAAAGAAAATTTTTATCAATTAATATCCAACACTGTATATAAGTCTACGTGAAAAAATCCTGCAAATTAATTTCCATAATGATCCAAGTTTGTAATAATCAAAATTCGCAATAAGGAGGAGATAAAAATATGGATCACTTTGTTTGAGACGGAAAATCTATTATTAAATGTAATAATTGCACTGTCAGAAAGGTCAGCAAAGATATCTCTTATAATGTATTAATAATTATTAGGAGAAAAGAAAATGTTCAGAGCACATTTTTTTAACATGGTGCAAGAAATATAGTCTCATTAAAAAGAGGTAATATGGAACAGACATGAAAATAAAAAAGAAATTTTCTTTTTATTATTATAAAGTTTTATTATTTTTTATTATTATAAAATTATTAATTATTATTATATAATTATTCGTGTTAAAATAACTTTTTTATTCTTTTGAATGTAAAAATCACAAGTTAGAAAGAGAAATAAAAAAGTTTCAGCTATGAGAGTTAAGGAAATTAATCTCAATAATTTAAATGATGTAAAAGTTCTTTAGGCCTATGAACAAAACTCGCGAATAAAACATCACTTTAACAGTAAAAACACCTTTTCTTAACACTGTAGACAACGTGACACTGACGCTAGACCCCTTTGGTAGCCGATAAGGATCTTGATGATCATGTTGACTTGAGTTACTGATAAATCGCAGCAATTATTTCAGAAATCAGTTTTGTTTCGTATTACTACCCTACCTTGTTTCATATTCTCCCCTATCGTCGTTGCCGGCGCGGAACCCAAGTCCACGGTGTCAGTATCGATGTCAGCATCTCTACTTTAGCCAGTCTTATGGCCGGACGACCGCGCGTTGCGGATGTCAGTTGTGGGGAAGCGTTCCACGTGCGTCGTTAGAAATGCAGATTGCTTGCTCGTGGTGCGACTTATACAGGGTAAACGCATCGACCGTCGCGACTCGGCCAGGTGCGCTTCGCCCTCCCTTCACCCCCGCGCCCCTCGAGAGCGGGGGCGGTAATGACAGTCGGGGGAATTTAAATGCAGCGCTACATTGTTGCCGGAACACGGCTACTTCGATCCGCGACGATGCACGCCGATGCACAGTCGTTCATGAGGGGAGGGGGGACCCAGCTATCGATCACAATTTCAGTAGACGATACCGCCAGCCTCAGCCAACGTCTCGTATGTAAATGACTCCGCCACTTTGCGAGTCCCCGCTCGACCTTCCGCTTCCCGTCGCCGCATCGCGATAGTCTCGCAAATTCGCGATTGTCATCGGTGAGGATGATGATGATGACGACGACAACGACAGGCTTCGTGTGAGTGAGAAAGCGCGCATGTGCGATTAGACCTTCGTTTGCCCCGTGGAAGCTAATGAAATTATTCCCGAATGAAGCCGGTAATACTGTAGCCTTTACTTCGCGAAATTTTAATGGCTCCATCAAAATGCATAGAGCCATCCTACAGGGAGGTATTCAAATTTGATATTTGCGTGCGAAGAAGTCGGAGAGATCGCCCATGTGTGATTGACGGGCTAAACGACGCGCTTTTTTGTCCTGCGCGATTGTATGCAAAACGCAGCAAATAGATGAAGGACTCTAAATCGCCGACGGAATTTCGACTCAATGTAGTTATTACGAAGCACGCTCCGTTATCGCGTCGCTTCATCCCGCTCCGCTTTAAATCGATCATAATTTCGGACGAACGCCGTTCGCCCCCGCCGTGCCAGGCATAAAACCATTAAAACGAGTCTCTCTCCGTTCATAACTACTCGGGTATATCCGCGCGTTTTCATTTCCTGCATCGTAATGACTCGATGATATCATCGTCCGCGATTCTACGAGAATGCTTACACGAGCAATCAGGTGAATCGCGCTGCCGCTATTATACGAAATCGTGCGGTTCTCCACTCGTACTTCCGCGAGTCCCTCTCTCATCGGAGACATAATCGTCGGTTTATAAACTTCATATATATTTCAAGGTAAGACTTTGTCGTTACATGCAAAACTGCCTCCTTTGAGGCGCAGATTTCAAATAAATCACGCTTAATTCAAACTTGAAACTCGCTGAATGTTTCGGGACTTTAAACGTTCCAGACAGTAACTCTTCGATATCGAAGGTGATTTGGAGCTATTCAAATGTTACGGGGATTTATTTCGCTATTGAGAACGTATTTCTCCTCTTTATTGAGAAGAAAGAATTCACTTTGCAAGTCGTGGAAATCGACGTAACGCCGCAGAGATTTATTCCGACTTCATGTTCGACGGAATATACTTTTTAATCGTGCGCTCGCACAGAAATATAGAAAAGATCCTTTCTGTACATGTGTGGGTGTGTATGTCGACACATTCGGCGCGATCGACCCCGCGGCGACCTTTCACCCGGAGCTTTCAGCGCGTCTCGCGATCGCCGTCCGATTTGGCGTATCTTTTCTTAGACGAGGCTGGGATTTAGCAACAATACACAGCACACACAAGAGCAAACTCGGACTATATTTAGGTCATTTGACAACGGTCGCAGCGCGCGTGCACGCCGCTGCATAGGATATATCCCGCGAATGTGTCCCGCTTTCTCCTTGCGCCTCGCATCACTTCTATAATGCCAATGTTACATGCACACGTGTCGCTAACGCAACGCCACTAGTATAAGGAAGGTCATAAATTATGAAAGGGCCCGCGTACATGCAACATACGCAAACTGTGCCCGCCCCCTCCCAGTCCCTAGTTTGATTTCGTCGTAGCCGTTACGCAAAGCATGCCACTTTATTCTTGCTTTATTCTTTATCTCCCTTGACATTCAGAACTTCGCTCGCCTATTGCCGACACACTGTCGAGTCGCCCTACGCGAATGTCCGCTCGCTAATCTCGCGGATGAACGTGATTGACGCGCTGTCTCACGATTAATTTTCGAGTGAGCGCGGACGACGCGGGTCTCTGCCTTGCCAGTAATTCGGGCAGGTCAAAGAAGATGAGACGCGATATTAATAGTGTCCTAAAGTCACTCATTTTATCAGTCGAATTAATCGTCAGCGCGATACAATGTATAGTGGGCTGCAAAAACCTAATGAAGTTGGCAGCTCACCAAACTGTCAGAACTAAGAATCATCGCCGACACACTTACGCAATAATAATATAATTAACAATATAATTAAGAACGCTAAATAATAAGTAGTAATAAACACTAATAATAATTAATAATAATAATTAGTGATATGATTATTGGGCGAATCCATGTCACTATAATGAGTCCCAATTTTGATTCGGCTTACAACCCGCTGTATGTAATCTATCACCTGTGAGACAAGCTTATCAAGAATTACCTAATCGATAGTTCTTCTGTGATCTGATCTTTGATCTGAAAAAGAAGATTTGATTTGGATAAAGTAGAATCTTTGATTTGGATGGAGTTAATATTATAATTTTAGTCGTAGGAGAAGCCGTAGGAGAAAATGACTCAGGCTCAATGGCGTAAAATGAAGGGCTTCTCGTAAATGAGGAGTCGATGTAATCGAATTATATTCATTCGGGTGCACGAACGGGTGAGTTAACGAGTGTATTTACGTTGTGGTCTTTATTCGGTGGCTGATTTCGACCTCGATTTCATTTTAACAGACACTCATTTCGCGGCTCGATCGTGGGCAAGTGTAAATATCACGACGAGTGTAAATATCATCTTGTATGAACTCCGTCATTCTCGCGCGGCTCATCAAAAGTAATCCCGTCTAATGCTGCTTTCAGGGACTCCCCGGTAGCGTCTTCGTCGTTGGTCGCCAGACGTTTTAGCGGATGGCGCAATAGCGGAAATCACGAGTACGTGCCCATCAGATGCCCAGTGCGACAGCCTGCTTCCATGGACGAGCGGTAAAAAAAGGATTTTATATGTTCATATTCAATTACACTTATATTTCTCTCTACGTTGGCGATTTAATCGCTACGCTTTTCCTCGTTCTGAGCGCGGAAGATGCAGTGGTCCTGCGAAATAACTTTTGAGGTAACTTTGCGTTACGCAAAGTTAATCCTCGAGTATGCGAGTAAAAAAAAATTAGAGTTTTATTCCCCCCTCTTCTTACATTCGAAATTAAACTTCATGGCACTGTTTCTCTTGAACGAGAAAAAGAAGATTTCTAGCAATTCTCAGAGTGATCGAGTGTGATTGTTCTCGTACGTGTACTATGATTAAAATTTATAGATTGTTTCCTTGAACCGGAAAGTAACGGGCGTTGAAAAGTTCTCCCTTTCGGCGTGTAGCGCAAAGTTACCTCCGTGGCGACGAAGCAATCTATGGTAGTTAGAAAACCAGTTATATAAGAAGCACACGGAAAGATCGAAAAGTTAAGATATAATTGACCAAATTTTCCAGCGCGGAAAAGAGCCACCGTAGCTTTTTATTTATAATGAAGTTCGGCTTTGAGGAAGAGAAATCGAGCGCGGTTTTGCAGTTGGGCAAGTTTCGGAAGGAAGCGGAGAAATGTGCTTTATCGCTGCGTTCGAAACGTTGCCCGTCCTTTCGTTACTTATACTGCTTATCATTTGCAATTCCTTAAAAACTTTGGATCACCCGTTTTTCCGCGCTGGGAATGGAGCATAGCAAAATGAAAAAGCATCAGGAGGACATCGTATCGTGTATATTTATGCTGCTCTCTTTTAGATTCTTTTAAATTTCAAATATTTTATTATATATATATATATATATATATATATATATATATATATATATATATATATATATATGATATTTTTAATATTTAATATAATTTTAATTTAATTTAATATTTAATAATATTTTTCTAATATTCTTTTGTAATACTTTATTTTGTGGGAACATGTTGAACGATATTTTTTTAGCCACACGTTTTAATCCTTTTAGTACCTTAGAGCCGATATATTGGCTTCGTGGGTTTTCCGAAAAATACCTTGAGCCGCGATATATATATCGGTTTTTCATTTTTAATATAATTTAAACACATGTAATGACATTTTATTTTTATAAAATAAGTTTATATAGTGGAACATACGTTTAATGGATAGGAATATGTATGTTTACCTAGTTTTGTCTCAGATGTTATTGTAGAAGTATGTGCAATATATCAGTAGTGTGGCGGTAGGATGAAAGCATGCGGTCACTTTGTCGGCTCACTGAAAAATTGCCGGCGTATGCTTTGATCAGATTTCAACTTTGTTTAGCATTTCGGAACTTCAAAAACGAACAATCAGTATGAAGTGAAGCGGACAGTGCAGATCGTAATAGAATTTATGGTTTTTTACAAATGTGAACCCTTATTTGAATGTACATTTATGGAAATTTAGAAGAAATAGTTGTTTCTTCCTTTCACGTAAAACTACATACATTTACGATAAAATAAAAAAAAACGTGAAAATATCTTTATTTTTAAAAGAAATATGTTAATTTTAATAGATACCTCAAAAATCGCATATTTTTCAATATACTTTTGGACGGTACTCGGAAAACTTATAAGGTACTATAAGGGTTAATTTCTGTAGAGTGTTTAAAGATATTTTTCAAAACCAAAAGAATTTGGTTGAAAAATATCATGAAACTTTTTTCAATTTTATTTTTGTGAGGTTTATATTAAAGATCGCGTGTGTGCCTTTCTCTCTTTCTCTCCTTTTTTCTCGCTTTTGCGTGCAACGTTCTTTGTCGTGATCGGGAATATTTCTTGGCACGTTCTAAACGAGCGACCAAAGGATCTTCCCTTTGCCGTCTAGTCGCCGTCCACTTCGGAATATGATTGCTCGCAGCATGGATATCCCACGACGTCTGCAAAATGCATCCCCTCGTGAATTTGCAATAAAGCATCGATATTTATATCTCTCGAGGTACTTTCCCGAGGCTATCGATCATAAATATATGGACATCGGTGACGTCGTTTCGTCCTACAAATATCTCCTCCACCGTTCAAGATCGACTACTTGGTCACACGCCAAACCTCACGCCAGGCCGACCCGTGCAAGCGCAACAGAGCGTGAGCTCTATCTTTTCGATAGTCCCTTTCATAGACGAGTAACGCGCTTAAATCGCGAAAACCCGTGAACAATAACGCATTTCGATCGTCAAAATTAGAAAAGTTTCTATTGTAAGATAACTCATTTCCGTTATTATTTCCACTAAATTTCGAGAAATTTTTCTTTCGTTCGTCTCGTATGCCGCAGAATCATATTCATTATCGTATTCCAAAAGATATAATTGCGTTGCCGTTATCATGACTTATCTGAAAAATATAACGCTGTTACCAAGATGTAGCATTATCAACTCTGTCGAAATTGAAGATACTATTTTATCTTATTTTATCAAAGAATTAGAAATTTTCTTTCAGATCAAAACGATCCTGTAGATTTGGTTCTCGATAAGCTTGTCTTACAAGTGGTAGATCTTTGTGTGACGGAGAGAAATCGCACACACGTGTACGTTGTATCGTCCTGACAGTTGCCGAGAAAGAAAGTGACTTATAGCGGTAATTATAACGGCGTCACAAGTAACGTTACACCTATCAACTCTGGTTCATCTGGAGCCAGGATTGAAGAGCACTTTCCGACCTGCAATCGTCGGAGCAATTATGGCAAGTGAGAGCCACTTCTTGGCTCTCTTGGCGCACTCAGTGGCGAGGTAGCTCGCGACGACGACGACAACTGATCCCGGAAATCCCGCAGGTGTTACCGGCGATACGACTCCGAGACCACTCGTCCGTCATCGCGGTACCATCATCGGCGCCCAGACGCCGACCGGCACTCGAAGAGCTGCGACTACTCTCGCCGCACCACGGAGTCGAGCATCGAAGTGCAGCACTTCGGCCTGCCGATTCTCAGCGTGAGCGAGCCGAGCCCGCCGGACGAGAGCGAGCGCGTCGACGACTACTTGTAGGACTTGCTTGCCGAGGACTTCCTGAAGGAGCTCCTCGTGTGAACCTCCCGCATTTTGCCTCGCCCGCCTGCAGCCGCGAGCTCGCCGGGCCCGCCCGCGCGGGACCGCGAGCCGCGACGTCGCGACCGGACGTTTGACCCCTTGCTCCTTCTCCTCTCTCTTTCTTCCTCCCCTTGTGTCCCCATCCCTTCGAACAACCGCGGTACCATTGTTCACGCGAATCCGCGACGCTGTATACTTGCGTTTCTTCGGGGGATCGCGTCCAAGTAAGTCTCTACAGAGAAGGAAAGAGAGAGAAAGAGAGGAAGGAAGGAGAAGAGAAAGAACATGTATGTGCGTGTGTGTGTGTGGGTGCATGTGTGAGAGCGACCTGCCTCTATTCCTTCTAAGCGATACTCTCGTGCGTGTTACTTTAGAGAAAACTTCGAAGGTTATAAATAATATATTTGCTACTCGTATCTCGTAGGAACTTCTCTGCGCGGAGAGCGCTCGCGTTTCCCACGCGGATCTCGCTCACACTCACAGCCTACCGAAAGCGCCGAATATCGATCGCTCTTCGGTAATCCATATCCTACCTACGATATAATTCCGGGGAATAATCGACGTGCCCCGTGTCCTCGACGCGTCGAAGGAGAAAGCGAAGTCCACTTCGAGTACGCGAGCGTCCGCCGCGTTGCATCAAACTTCAAAAGCTCGGCATACACTCAAATAACGAACGAGCAGTGAACGCAAACTTTTGTTTTACGACTGACAACGTATGCCTTAACGAATATGCAGAACGTACGTCTTATTCGAGCCGATTCGCTCATGGTACGGCTTATAGGAGAAGTACATGAAATTTAATATTCTTTAGGCCTAAAAAAGCTAGTCGCAGGATTTTATTTGCGAGATTTATCTGCGAGGGAAACTAATCTCGGAAGTAAAATCCTACAACTCTTATAGGCCTAAAGAATATTAAATTTAATATAGTTGTACATTTGAAGAGCTATACTTCTATTGCTTTATAGAAGAAGGTTTGTGCACAAGTTGGACGCAGATATATCACACGTTCGCTGTTCGTTCGCTGAGTGTATATCCGGCTTAAGACGTGCTCGACGAATACACAGGTGGAACATAAGATCACGATAGCGTCAAAATGACGAGGAGATGATCAAATCGTAATTGAAAAGTGAGCTTTTCCTTGACAGTCTGACATCATTTCGATAATGTCCTCGTGATTTTCTGTCCTGCTCGAGCGATTTTCTTATTACTTCGATATTACTGATTGGATCGACGCCAATTCGACGTGATTGCAAACGACACATGATTTACGAGCCGCGAAATACGGGGACCAATCGAGCCACATCGATGCGTTCGCGTTTTATCATAAGAGCACGCTTTCCCATGCCGGAGATTTCGGTAAGATCACGTTACATCATAGTATCCGAAACTTGAGGTCGAAACGAGCCGTGTCAATTGAGAATTGATCCTTTGTCGACAGCTGAGCTGAGTGGCGAAATCGCAGGAACTGGAGACGCGTATCGCGTGTATCGACACACGTTAAATTCAATCCTTCGCTCTTCATCTACCCTCTCTTCCATCTCGTCAACGATTAATTCCCGAAAACGCCTCAAAAATACCAAAATGTCTTTTTTTTCTTGTTCGTGACTCCGTCACTGTATTTTCAGCCTTCCACGAGGATATTTATGACTATTTGGCACACTGTTCACACTCCTAGTATCCTTTCTATATTAACTATTTCTTATTTTTCTCTTAATCTTTTCCAATATTCTCTATTCCTAAATATTTCTTAGAAATAATTCTAAGATATCCTCTAAAAAATCACGTCTGAACAAATTCGAATGTCACGACAGTTAAATCGGAACTAACCAACATGCGTTTTGATAAACTTAGGTTACCGGGTTAACTTAGTTAACCTTAAACCTAACCTAATTGAGTAAAATAACCTAAAATCTCATTTGACAAATAAGTATTCGAAGTCTCAGCTTGACGGGCTTTTTTATCCGACGATCCGTATGAGCGGAGAAATGAGCGCTTGTATCGAAGCGCGCTCGCCACGCCGTGTTGTGGAAACGGAAGCAGGTCCGCATTCCGTCGCGTCTAGTCGTGTTGACATGCGTCAGCTGGAACGCGGACCTACCTCTACTTCGCGTCGGTTGCGTCAGGCTGTCAGCTGATCGCTCGACCTTGTGACCAGGTCAGTAACACGATCGCGCGGTCAGTAGATCGAAGTGGTCGATACCAATCACGCATGCGTACTGCACTCTTGCGACCACATGATGGCGCCATCACACTTGTCTACCTGGAGTTCCCATCGTTCGTCATTTGTACGGAGGAAATTAAATTGTTTCACAGCGAATTTTGTACAGAAAGAAGATAATAATATATACAAATTGCAGACATTCCGGGCACCATAAATATGTAAGAAACATGTTAGAGACGTCTAAAAGTATCCTACTTGTCTTAGATGTCTTTAGAACGTCTTGAAGACGTATCTTACACATCTGTTTGGCATATATACGTGTGACTTTTACTGATTGATCGTTGTATTATTTAAAAACCGCGTTAGGCTGAATGAGAGCGACGCTACCGTCTCTTCCGATCGCGAAAATAAGATGTTTCCTTATTTATGCGCTTATTCCCTCAATTATAGCACGTCGCGGAGAAACACGTGAAGCAAGCGCACCGAAGTTCTTGTTACGACGAACGAATCCCGAAATCCCGAATTATTTATACACACACGTCGATGCATCTCTCTCGCCGTCGTATCAGGCGCGTCGCCGAAATAGCTTTCGCTAACAATGAAGGAGAACCGCCGCTCGATATTAAACATCGAGCGTTAAACATACATGTCCACCGTAGAATTCCGCCGTGACGGAATTGCAACTTCAATCCAATGCGCCGCGGATCGATATGCCAGGTCGCCCTTGGATCTTCGGCGCGAACACTGTCGCACGTTTCATGGCGGAGGGTCTTCGGTGTGCAGGGCGAGCGAACGACCGACGTGCGCGTTTATACCATCGCCGCCACCGTAGCGACTGCGTGAGAAGATCGATAACACAACCTTAACTCTTTCGCGATTGCCTAGATTGCCGTGCATTTTCATTGTCCCCGCGCATTGATCCCGATGATATGGCGCGCTTACCGACGAAACTTTCGCAAAATGAGAGATCTCGTCAGCAATATCGAATCTTCGAGAATCTCTCGAGCGGGGAGAGGAAGATGACCAACAATGTGATCTCCTTACCATGCGCCGCGCGACGTAAACTATCATGGGCTTTCATGTGTATTGTCTACAACGATCGTGCGACTCACATGCTCGCCGCGCTGTCTCCCCCGGGCCGAAGAGACGACGCGGGCGTATCGAATATCTGTAGGGGAAACTTGGAACCAGCGGCTCTCGCGGCCGCCTAAATTTTATATGTATTTGAGTTTATATATATACATACATATGTATGTGTACGTGTCTCTCCTACGAACACTTCATACGTCACGAGTTAATCGGCGAAAGGGTGACGACGATAGCGATGCTATCAATCTCACCCCGGGAGAAAGAGAGAGAGAGAGAAAAAGAAGATATAAGAGAGGCAAAGAGAATGAGAGAGAAATGTATTAAATTTCTGTGGAATAATATATCCGAATACATCAAAGTTTATGCCGTGATCCATTAGCGCCTCGAATTACTCGGTTGTATATTACGTTCGTGATACTTTCCGCGCGCATTGATCTTGCTTTATCGCCCCCCTCCCTCCCTTGTATATTTATATCGCACTCTCGCCACGTTTATCTCACTTATTATTTATTCACCATTTTATATCGTTGTATTCGTTTGACCGTGTTGACACGGGAACCGGCTGCGTCGGTTAAGTGGTAAAACGAAGGAAGCATAACGAAGTGCAGATCGTCATTATTCAACTATTATTTAAACTTGAATAGCAATGGATGGTAAGCTGGTGGCGCGAAACAGGAATAACATCTGCGCGTCGCGACGAAAGATGGATCGAGGCATGAACTTTGCGATACAACATACACATACATACATACATACAATATACACAAGGAGATCGAAAAAGATTCAATTACCTCTAAACGATTGATAATTATAGCTTTAAATGAAGAGACCAAATAATTAAAGAAGAGTCCTTATTCTCTTACGAAAGAGGCAGTCTTAGGGGGACCCGAATTAAGCAATTTTACAAAGAAAGAGTATCCGTCTAAGATTACTGTATCCTCTGTACATACGTACATACATACATACATATATATACGTATATACTTGTATGTAGAATTAGAATTCCGACCGTGCTGATCTGAGTGGCGGATCAACTGCGGAAAATCGCGCGAGCGATCGTTCGATCGATCGAGGGTGCGAGGATCGAGAGTTTTTAGCCTGATAGCGCGAAGATCCCAGCTCCGTCTGTCGCCGTCATGACGTCGAGTGCTCCGAGTGCAAATAACGATAAGAGATACGCTGTCTGTCTCGTCGCTTGCGTGTATCCGGCGGGTGTAACTTAGCCTCCCACGTAATAAACATAGCTTCTATACCGTTTGCGTGAGCGAACACTGTGGCGTATATGTACACACATACACACACATGGCATAGCGGCGTTCTCAGCGTAGCCAGCGTAGTGACCGTTCTCGAATTAAAAGTGTAAAAAATGTCGGAGATGTATACGTACATTTAGTTGAACGTAAGATCATGTCGTTCGTACGACGGTACAAGTCATCCGCGAGATTCGAGAGAGAAAGAATGTGTGTGTGTGTGAGAGAGAGAGAAAGAGAAATCTTATGTTTCTTACTGAAATGGGATAAACATTATTTTTCACAGATTTGTAAGCTATATATATTTTCTTAATAACGTCGCGCGCGCGTCAAGGAATCGTTCCGCCTCGCAGAAGACACCCTCGAATCTACGGATAGCTCTCTTTGTATATATGTGCACCCTCTATCATCGACGGACCTGTTGTGTACGCCTAAGGACTCGTCGAGCGGAAGTAGGTAGAAAACGCAATCAACGAGACACAATCGCCGCCACGATCATCCATTCGACAACGACGCTACTCCCGGTTCCTCCCTTTCTTTCCTCGATGTGCGAATCCTTCGTCGGCGCGTCTCGCACTCCGCGCAAATTCTCTCGATGTGTATATTTGCATGTAAATATCTCTGTATCCGCGTATACTCGGCGCAACGAGAGGCGAAAGAGAAACACTGTCGCCGTCTGATCGCGCGAGCCTCTTCTCCTCGATCGAAGAAACCTTCCCGTCGACGGGATCCGTGAGCGAGCGAGTGAGTGAGCAATGAAGACGAAAGAGAAGAAGAAGAAGGAAAAGAGGAGAAGAGGAAAGAAGAAACGGAGAGTATTCTCAGTGTAATATCGCCCGCGGACACTGTGAGCGTAGAGTTTAAGATCTGTCAATTCGTGACACGCTATAAATTCTAAACCTGTGATTTATCGAGTCTAACTTTAGGGATTAGCTTTAAAGCTCTTGGTAGTACGAACCAGATGATGACATACGCGATCTATGCGATCTAAATACTCTATACATATTATACATACGATGATCCGTACACTCTCTCTCGACTTATAAACATATAAACATATCGTATACTACTCTGCACGCTCCGTTGTAATCAACGGAGGGACAAAGGGACCGCTGACCCGAGCGTTAATCCTTAATCAATATGATAAACGTTCGCGCGTTCTGCTCGAAATTAACACTCGAGTCATCTTGGCATCTGAGAGTTCCCGCGGACTCCGTCGGGTTCCGCTCGAATCGCTTTGGTTTTCCGTACGAAGGAGCGACGACCATCCGCAGATAAAAAGTGTATTTTCCACGGACCAAAGTAACATCGTCTGTTTTGCGCCTGTGATTTTTTTCTTACTTTTTTTTCAAGTCCTCACCGTTACACGATCAGACGATCACTCGCTCGCAGGAGAGCTCACCCGTCATGCTGGTTAAGGATTAAATGTATTTTTTCAAGCGATTAACCGTTGTAATTAAGAGTGCGAGAGCTCGCGACCTTTGACGTCGATCGTGCGGGAGAACGAAGGGCGCGATGTGGTAACGAAGAGAAAGGAAGAAAGAGAGAGAAAGAGAGAGACCTTTTCTTTACATCGATAACTTTATATAGTCGATCCTTCTTGTAGATAGCCCCGAGCGGGTCTAAACCTTTTTATTGAATGAACTCTGTCACACGTCCTGTACCAATTTGACTTATATGATATATAATTAAAAGTAAGAATTAAAAAAAAAAAGAATAACTTTACAGACATGTCAATTTCATTGCGGCGATCCTTAACGATTTCTGAGCAGCGCTTTGAGTGTAACACCAAGGTGTATAGATGCATGAACGATTGAACGAGAAAAAAACATCATTGCGAGAAATAGTTCGAGAATCAGCTCATTTAGATTTGAATCTGATAGTCAGGAAGCGCTGAAAATGCACTTCATTCCCAAGTAGGAGCTTCCCGCCAGAAGACGCGATCCTGAGGAGGATCACAGACCTGGTTTCCTATCGATTGCTATGGTTATCAGTAAATAATTAATCCGCGCAACAGTATCCGTAGTTTCGAAACTAACTAGGCTGAAATTCTTTGATTAAATTACTTGTCGGTAACTTCTGATTCAAGCACGTCAGTCAAAATTTCCGCGGTGAATGATGCACGATACTGAATGATTATAATTTAACGATTCAGATTCTGTTTCGTTAAATAACCCAACGATGTTTCAAAGCAAACGTGCCTCTTCGATGAAAATGACGATATAAATGAATATCAGTTTCCAAATGTCAAAAGATTAGAGAAATATTCCAAGCATCGAGCATCTTTTAATTAATCTATTTTGGAAAAAATATTTTAAAAAACGTCATACTTGAAAATTTTACCGACAAAAGATCCTGACTTTTTTGCAAAGTTTAAGACGTATTGACTGCACAGAATTGTATCGTAATAAAAGTACATGCAAAAATGAGTTACAGCATTACTTAATGTGTGATAAAAATGATTAAGATGTTCGAAATTAACATGTCGAGCTATCAGTTGTGTAAATATTTGCCTGATACAAAAGTTTAGCAGCTTGTACTTATCAAATGTGTGTTTGCTCATTTCAGAAGAACACTGTTGTACCTTTAAAACTGAATTTAGGAGCTTAAAAATAAACGAAAAGTTTGCAGAAAGATTTTTATGTATGCCCGGTCGATTTTCTGCTAAATATCGTGAAACAAAGCAGCTTATGTTTATATGGAATATATATGTACAAGAAATATGAGAAAAGCAGCGTGTCAATGCTTATCTGACGTGTCATTTTAACGATCGTCACTACGTTATTGACATTTTTCGAGTTCGCTATCCACTTTGGCATTCACTCAAAAGAAGCGGTCCGCGATGACAGGCGCTCGATAGAGAGACGGCAATATTGAAATTTATGCATATATATATATTTGTACCAGATCGTCATTTGTACATCAAGTTCGTACAATTCGTTTAATCGTACAGTTCGTTTAATCGAACAGTCGCGGAACACTCGAACCGATTTCACAGTGACTCGTCGTTTTCTAATTACTAATCGACGTTTTAAGAAATTCAAGAAATAAGCAGGAGACTGGTCGTCTCTTGCGCTATTTTATCCGTTCTCTTTTTTCTTCTTTTCTCCAACTTCCTTATCCAACATAATCTATCATCTGATTTCAGAAGACAGAGAAACTTAATCTATATCTTAACGGTAAGTTTCACTCATCTGTGCTATGTAGAGTGAGCCCAATGATAAACTAAAGAAGAATAACGCGCCGTTTATCTTTCGGCTATTACGATAAAAGCTTTATATCTAGACACACTACGGCTTTATATCCTGATTTTTATGGACGTCTTTTCACGGCGATGTTGAGAGATACGTTTATGCGAATACTATATACGAACTTATCACTACGTGAAACAGTTTTCTCCTTTCTATCCTGTACGCGTTTAACCGGTGAAAAATGTTGAAACACTAAACGCACATACATGGGCATTGAAACCGACCCGAACAAACGGTGAAATATCCATAGTTTACGCGTTTACAATACATGAATAAACGTTATGAACATATTGGCAATACACATATGTATTGCAAAATTCATAATTTTCACATAATACGGTTACGATTAATTCTTTCCTCGAAATAATGATCAATGATTTCATTCGCTATTCCGAAACTGATGTTTACATATTGTTCCCCTAAGTCCTCGTACACTTAGTGGGCTCAACACACTCTACGGGATTGCACATCTAACATTTCTAATGGAAATCCTACACGCTCCTTTTCACAGCCAAGTTGTGAAAATATAATCCCCAAAGATTAATTTTGATACATTATTGTAACTCGCTTACCTAACTGGATATGGTTTCACGATTGATCTACATTTCCCCAAAAGAAAAGATTGCATTTCTCAAAAACCCGGTAGTACATCTAGCTCTAACGCGCGGCTTCGCAAACCCGAGATAACCGTTTCGTGAGTCTAACAATGTACTATGTACAAGATACATAACTATACGTGGACTCACTGTTGAGAGTATCTTATATACAATTCGGTGAAAATGGAGATTGCAATTCCGCGAGAATATATTTGTTCTGATTCGATATTTGATTGGATACTTGAGTTACGGACCATACGAGCGTTACGTACGCTTCGTGAGGGAACTACGCGCTTGTAAAATGAAATATGTATACAGAAATTTGTATTATTTGTTAGTACACTGATCATTAAACCTCCTTGAGCATACTAAAACGCAACATTCTCAAGTTAAAAAAAAAGCTACGGCTCGGTATTTCAGGTCTCTCTCGACGTCGCAATTTCCATTTTCATGATTGTGTAAAGTGTTCTTCTCAGAACACATTCTGTGCTGTATCACTGTTATATGTTCTTCTCGTCAGTATCTGCTACTGGCGAGTCCAGGCGAATATTGTCCTCTCTTTTTCCTTCTTTCTCTTCCGTAGCTCCAGCAGCATTGTCATTGATGTTGCTTGTGTTTTCGTCAACTGAATTCTGATTGAAGCAAATACTGCTGATCTCTAAATCTACTGAGCTATCAGTCTTTGATGTTTGACTAACGTTTACAGTGTCCTCTCCAAAAGTTGTATTCAAGGAAGAGTTTACTTTAGATTCCTGACTGCAATGTGAATCGTTCAAATTGACATCCCTTGGTAGATTGCTGTCAGGCTTCTCTATGAAATCATTGTCCACGAGTTTCAGATTGGACGAAGATTCAGCTTGAGGTGTCTTATCATCGCTTGTACTGTTTGAATTGTTCAACTTTTTCATTAGATGTTCCCAAGGATCTTTCAAACAAGAAGGCATATCTATGTACTCTGATATGCTCACTTGCCTGTGTGTTCCTTTGTCATTCTGAAAATATAATATATATTAACATCAAACATTTAATATACACATTTGATAATATAAAATATTTCTTATGAATTATACAATATATTTTATGTTAAATGTTAACACAATTCTTTCTTTGACTAATGGATGTTTGAGGTAAATAAGTTTGACAAAAGAGATTCGCAAGTACCTTTCTCTGCTTGTGAAACTGTTGAAACTGTTTGAAGGGTTGTTTGTAAGGAGAGTATGAACTATTACTATTTGATCTTGAAGAAGTGTAATAGTTATTTCTGTAATTACACCTTGCATTGGCGTTGCCAGAATTGTTATATTTTGATCTTGGGGTATTGTAACCACTCCTGTTGTAACACCCTCCGCTGTCTGGACTAGAATTATTGCGCCCACCTCTGGGACTGTGCCAGTTACTATTGTTCTTCTTGTATTGTGTTACCGGTGTACTCATGTCCAAGGGAATGAAATCATCCCCGCTAATTTGCTGCGTTCCATCGTTCGCAGAAAAACATTGATAACCATCGTTCCTGTTGGGCGTATAACCTCTTTTGTTTGCATTTTCGTGCGAATTCCAATTGTACGGCGTGTGCTTTCGCTGATTCGGGCCGCTCGGAGTGCTCAACGGCGATCTCTTCATCTCTGCACTTAACACGTAATAATTATCGTACGACGAACAAACGTAACTCACGATTATTTACAACGAGTGTGCACAACTTTGTAAACAGAACGAAAGATTGGAAAATGGCTGCGCTCGGGAAGCACGCAATCAGCTGCGTTCCTGCCAGTGAAAATTTATAGCATACGTGACATGAACTATAGATTTTCAAAACTGGCATTGGCTGCATTCAGCAGACTCAACAGTTGCACAACAGTTGAGTAATTTGTCAATGTAATTGGTCTAGATTTAGGGATCTAATAGCAAGAACCAATAATCGTTGATTGCTCACTGAGCGCTTTTTCTACTGAATGCGCCCATTGAATAAAGGATAGCGTCATTGGCTGCATTCAGTAGACTCAACAGTTGCACAACAGTTGAGTAATTTGTCAATGTAATTGGTCTAGATTTAGGGATCTAATAGCAAGAACCAATAATCGTTGATTGCTCACTGAGCGCTTTTTCTACTGAATGCGCCCATTGAATAAAGGATAGCGTCATTGGCTGCATTCAGTAGACTCAACAGTTGCACAACAGTTGAGTAATTTGTCAATGTAATTGGTCTAGATTTAGGGATCTAATAGCAAGAACCAATAATCGTTGATTGCTCACTGAGCGCTTTTTCTACTGAATGCGCCCATTCTATTCTTTGGTCTTTGCATTAAGGCCCTTGCAGAATGCCAGGCAACAGGCAATAGGAATAGGTATTAGCCAATAGGAAAAGGGAATAGAAATAATTGACCAATCCGAATTCCTATTCCCTGTTCCTATTGCCTGTTGCCTGAGCCTTTAGAATTTTCTTTCTCTCTTTTTTACACCAATTTACAGCTACATACCTGTTGTTTCAAGTTTCTAAAGTATGCACTAATTTAGCTGCAAAAAACAGATTTCTTGTTGTATACTCGCATATTTGTTAGAAGATAAATTATCTTATCGATATTTCCAAATTTCGTGAGATCCAACTACACTATTTGGAAGTAAAAAGATCATTTGCTGTTGAGTTGTGATATTTGGAAATAAAAGCTCTTCTAATTTATTATTGACTTGTACTACTTAGTTAATAAAAAAAGTCTAACGATCTACAATAGATGTAGTAAGCTTTAAGCCGTAAGAAATTAACCAATCACAATTGATTATTCCTCTATAATTCCACTGTGATTGGTCAATTTCTTAAGACTTAAAGCTTACTACACCTATTGTAGATCGGAACTAATGGTTCCTGCACACAAAATGTGGTATGCTTGCCGCGCGGCGGAAGCCCGCGCAACAGCCAATCAATATGTTGTTTTTCCGTAAGAGCTAGAAGGTTATTACGGAAAGCAGCATATTGATTGGCTGTCGCGCAAACTTCCGCCGCGCGGTAAACATTACCGCGTCCTGTGTGCAGGAGCCTTATTACATCTATTGTAAATCGGGACTAACGAGCACAGATGTCTATATCATGGCTGCGTTCCTAAATTCACTGTCAATACTGAAAATCTATAGTTCATGTTACGTATACTATAGAATTTCAGTACTAGCAGTGAATTTCGGAACGCAGCCCATGAAGTAATGGCTCCTACACACAGGACGCGGTAATACTTGCTGCGCGGCGGAAGTTCGCGCAACAGCCAATCAATATGCTGTTTTCCGTAATAACCTTCTAGTTCTTACGGAAAAACAATATATTGATTGGCTGTCGCGTGGACTTCCGCCGCGCGGCAAGCATTACCGCGTCCTGTGTGCAGGAGCCATAAGCTCAGCCTTGCTGCACCAGTTCAGTGGTGCAGTTAAAGAGCTGCACCACTGAACTGGTGCAATAAGAGTGAGACAAGTATATTTTATCTCGCTTTAACTTATTGCTTTATAAATGGCACCCACCATAAGAAGTTATTCTTTTTAGTGGATTTCCTCTTAATTGGGAGACACGAATCAGGACCACTTTCGTTATATGGAGTTCGACTTCCTTCTCTCTTATTTCATGGTCTATACTAAACTAGATTGCTAACAGGCTATTTAAAAGCATATAACGACTTGTGTCCGATAGAGTTTCCGGTGCATGCGAGAAAATGGCCGCTACGCCACATATTTTCACTACGTTTAGTCATACAATTCTTTTGTTGAAAATAAACAGAGCAAATAACGTCCAATACTATTTTTTTGTTACGATATTTTTTAATGCAATAAGTTGCTGGCATTTTTTGTTTTACGACAGTAATTTAATGGCCACGCTGACTTACATTGTACGTTGTAAGTATTCACACAAGTGACACGTCACTCACCAACGTCACACACACAGGACCAACGCCATTTTCTCGTATGCAACCGGAAACCTTATGCGACACACGTTTGAAACCCTTGTTAACAATCTAGTTTAGTATAGATATCTGTGGCTTAAACACAAATCTACTTAGCCAAGACTCAAACCACTTGAGCGCAATGAGTCTTTTCTCGATACCGTTAGATGACACCACAGGGACGTTAGTCGGTTACTAGACCGTGATTCGAAAGTGTAGTTTCAAAGCCTTCGTGACGAGTCGCTGCTGTTTCTATCGGCAAATGGAAGTCGCAGTACGATTCAATAACGGACACAACACTTTAATTGTAATCTTTACTTGTAAATTATACGTTTCAACAGGGATCTAGAGACTACCCTCCATTCTCAAGTATGATTCAACGACAGATCAAGTGACCTCTTCCTTCCCAAACAGTGCGGGCAAACGGCAGATCAAAGGTATCTTTATCTTTTAGCAATAAAATCCAATTCCGAATGCACACGAACTTTGATTTTTCAAGAATTGAACAACGATTGGACTATCTCCCTTTTCCCTTTTCTCTTGATAGAAAAGTCGTCCGTCCTTTTTCTATTAATAAAAAATAAATGTCTATTCGATTTGATGATAAATTATATTACCGAAGAATGAAAATATACGAGACAGAGAGCGAGAGAGAGAGAGAGAGAACATAAATTTGTACTTTATTTTTAAATTTTCTTAAATATCTAATAATCTTTTTATTTTCGTCTCTCTTCAAATAGAGTGTTAATCACATATGCAACGCGTTATGGGAATTACATAAAATACACCAAAATTTCAATATGAAGTTAGGCTTGTTAATTTAATTGTAGAATGAAATTTATTAAAACTCATATAGAGACTTGTATAATCTCATTAATATTATATATTAATATAGTCTAATAGGCCGGCTTAACGGGCTAGCCTAACAGACCTCTTCACTAAGCACAGCGGCGTAAGTCGGATTCGAATTTCGCGGCAGTGGCCGGAGGAGTCACGTAGCGGAGCGCGCATGCGCGCCCGACCGTCGCTGCTGTCGCGAGTAGTGGGGAGCTCGTGCGAGCGACCGCGAGCTCGGGCGGTGCAGATGCTGCGAGAGACTCGTCCGGCTTGCGTGGTGAAGGGCAAGCAGTGTGTTCTACGGTGTTCCACGGCGTTTCACGGCGCGTTGCACGAAGTCGTCGTCGCTGCCAGGGTCGCGCGCGCGTTTGTTTGTGAGGGTACGTGGGAGTCTCTGTGTCCGCCGCGATGGACGACCCCCCGGCGATACCTGTTGCGCGGCTCGACCCGGTCCGGCTCGCGTCGCGTGTCTACCGGTGCGTCTCCTCGTAAGGAGCCTTTTCCGCCGGCTATCGCGAGGAAGTGCGGACGATGCCTCGCGTTCGTGCCCGTTGTTGACGTTTTCCCGTGTTAGACGCGCACGAGAAAGAGTGTGTGTGTGTGTGTGTGTGTGTGCGTGCGCGCGCGCGCCCGCCCGCCCGCCCGCCCGTCCATCCGTCCGCTCGCTCGCCCGCCCGCCAACGCGCCACCGACGATCGCGTTGTCCTTGTTACTCGCGACTCGTCCTCCCGTTCCGCGAGTGCTGCACGGAGTCGCGATACACGAGCGAACTCGGGTCCCGGTGACCGACTCATCGAGGAAGCCACAACGGAGCGAGAAGAGGGAACAGGCGCGCCAACAGAGAAAGAAAGAGAAAGAGTGAGGGAGAAACGGAGCTATGGGCATCGTGCAAAGCAGCCGCAGCGGCGAGAGCGATGGCGGTGTACGCGAGGTATTCGTCGGCGGTGTCAAGGCCGGCGTGCCTCATCACTCGTGTCAACCCAGCCTGGGCATGGGCAGCCTGGGTGGACCGCACGCACGCAGCGGCAGCGTACGCAGCGCACCGAGACAACCGATGCCGGACACCGTCGAGCTCGAGAGACGCTTCACCAAAGTGCTGGTGAGTAACGTACACATACTTGCTTCACTAGCCATCCCGTGGCGATCGTAGCAGACGATACAGCGAGCACGACCCTGCGGCGAATCTTGTTCGAATCGTTGGGTCAAAAAGCACCGTGTTTACGCTCTCGAGACATAACCTCTCGTTTTGAATTTACGCGCTGTCATCGGTACACAACATGGCGCGCAATGTATTTTCATGAGAACTCATAAATAACTAAATTCGTATAACTGTATTCGTATTTGTGAATTGCCAACGAGGTGTAAAATTCGTCGCAGAGAGAGTGCTTCTTCATGCGCGCGGTCTGCTACAGAAAAAAATTCGCATTGAATGAATTATTTGTGGTTTTGAGAGACACTTGTTTTCAATCGAAATATCCTCGTGTGAGCGCACGGAGATACAAACACAGTGCGAGTATTTCTTGTATTTACATTCCGCTCTGTCTTGATCTTTTTTGCTCCCACCTCTTCGGCTCTGTTCCGATGTTACTATAATTAACTTGATTCGAACATTATGTATATTATCATAGGTTTATAACTCACGCCGAAGTGACAACGTTCGTGGTAAAACGCATTATATGTAATAATAATATGAGATATACTACATCTCGCAATGGAACGAACGGAATGAGCGCGTTCTATCGTTGATACGATCGAGCAGCGTTCAGCATTGAGACGCGATTGAAAGAGCTCCGATATCTTCGATGAACTCTGAGCCGCGCGCGTTCTCGTGAAGGGACCTTTGAACTTGGTCGTGTGCGCGTCGTAATACGGGATGAAAGACTCTCACAGTTTGGAAGCGCATTACGACCGCGGTCGCTTGCTCGGAACCGCTCGAAAATTCACGTCACATCCTTCCGCTTCGCGCGGCCCGGTGATATTTTTACTCACGAATGAAAATAGCCCCGGGGGCCACCCACGCTATCGTCGATTGCTGCTTCGACGTTCGAACATTCACGATGACTAATTAACGCGCATATCCGGCGCGTGTCTGGCCGAACGGACGCGTTGACCCTTTGTGGTCCTTTATACATTTCATGACAGCATCATTGTTACTTTTTCGATCGAGATACACGCTCGGCACACACAAAAAATACGTTCAAATTAACTTAAATTTTGCTGAATAACTTTTAACTCAAATTAACTAAATTTAACTTAAATTTAACTTAAATTAAATTTTACGTACAAGTAAATTTTACTTGTTTCATAAGTTTGTCGCAAATTTATCATAAGTTTGTCATAAGCTTCAATATTATGCAAAATTCCAAGAAGTTTAGCATTTCAGTCGAGAAAATTAAATGAAAGCACAAATTCAGTTTACTTTTGTGCCTCTTGTCTTAACCTTAAAGGTCCATCTACAATGGAATTGACAATAGAACTTAATAAATAATAAAAAATTATTCTTGTAATAATTGACTGCGGTTGGTCAATTTGCTTACTGCTTGTGTCTCACTGTCTACTACCATCCCATTGTAGATAGCCCTTAACATATGTGACATATCACGGATGAATAATGTCAATTTTAATGAATAATTTTTATGACTTTTAATGTTGAATAATTTTAATTTTTAATTCGAAAATTGATTTGGAAGAAGCTCTTACTCTCACCTCGATCGTCTTGTTTGCGAGAACGAAGATGCGCGTACGCGTAATATGCACACATACGCGATGAAGATTTCCTTTTCGATTGACGGGATTCGTATGGATTTTGACGCATCTGCACGTCACGCGTGTACAAGCGCGATTTTAATTTCATTTCTCCTCCGTCGACTGTCAAAACGCGCGCCGCGTCAGCAGCATGTCCGACGAGCGAGATGGAGATAAGACACTCTCGCATGACCGGTAATTCTCTTATCAACCTTCCGACGTCGGAGGGCAAAAAGAGGGCGGAGGGGGCGGTACGCTCGGTGACAAATATTGACGAACTGTCAAGCCTGCCCCGCGCGGATATCGACCGGACGATTTAATCGAGATGCTAATATTCTCCTGTGAAATATGACGATATCGCGTCGATAAATATTGTGGACGCAGAGCCGACGCGCATTCCGTGATATTGACAGTATTTTAATTAGGTTAATGTGCAGCGATTTGCCTCGTTCAATTTCTGAACGGTTAAGAGCGAGATAAGTGAGCGGATGTCATAATTGAATATCTACTTGCGAAGAAAATCGTTTCAATGTATAAATCAAAAAAAGAATGGACTATATTTTAAAGTAAAAATAAACCGATTGACTATATAGTATTTTCCAATAATATAATAAATAAAAAGTCCCACAAAATGAGGCGTTGATTTATGCTAACAGAATCGATAAAAATTAAACTCAGGCTTTATATTTCATTTTAATTGAAATGTAGTCGCAAGTATTTGGACACTGTGATTGAGACTTTAAGACATAAGTTAGACGATTCTTATCAGGGACTCTTATTTAGGGACTGAAACGGCACGGTCGGCGCGCGATTAAGAAATTGCCGCGTAATCGCGGCACGCGAAATATCTTAAAATTCGGCAGAGAGGCTAATATATGACTACCTTGATCAGGGTCAACGTCTGTTAAATATTCTTTTCACGAGACCCGTCCGTTCCGTTGAAAGAGCGCGACCAGAACGACGGTTGTTCCCTCGCGGCGAGCGAAATAATTTTAAATAATAAAAAAGAGAATCGCGACACACATCTTTTCGGCTGAGAGTGGCAGGCAGATAGGAAGGTAGTTGGAGTAACGAGATACCCCGGCGAGTGTTTCATCGCGTGCGAATTTCACGTTCAATTTGGACACGCGGCCCAAGTGAGAGGTGCATCAAGCGCATTCTTGCATTTTCGTCGTGGCGCGGCGTGACGTGAGAGGGCACGATTGTATTTATCTTTACCGCCCCGAGGTGTAACGTAAGTAACAAGCCGATCGGTATCAACACGTGTGGCCTGTAACTTATAGCGGCTAATATCTGAACTCGAGTGAACTCTGGTCGCGCGCGCAGTGGTTGTCCGTAGGTCTGTATGGCCCGATCTACAATAGATGGAGTAAGGAGTAGGAGTAAGACGAAATGGAAATAATTTATTTCGCTTACTCCCTTACTCCAATAAAAGTTTGCTCGTCTACATCACATGGAGTAAGCCTGAATTAAATAGTAAGAGCTGGAATAAGGAGCTGGAGTAAGGGAGTAAGCGAAATAAATTATTTCCATTTCATCCTACTCCTACTCCTTACTCCATCTATTGTAGATCGGGCCTTCTTTTTAGCTGAACTGTATCTGAACCGCGGTGCAGACTGGTGCAGTAAGTGAGAGTTAGACAAAATATACTTGTCTGTATGATTCAACTGTTAATTACTTACCAAGAGGTTGGGAAAGTCGAGTCCTTAAGCTTTTCTGTGTGTCACCGGTCTAAAGGGATGCTCCTCGCGATTTCGGCTCGAGAGTCTGCAATCGCGTGCATTCAGCGTACATAGACGTGGTCTTCCTTGTTTCTCAAACTGACGTGGAAGTACGTTCACACGCGGCCTCTGCACTGCCGAAGTTTAAAATCGAATCGGGGATTGAGATTTCGGATCGAAAATGAGTAGACCGCACTGAGGAAAGAAGTTGCTATTTCGGTGACTATGATTATACGTGGTGAAATATTAGGTTGATCAAAGAGTTCCTCTCGCATAAACACTGACAATACGAACAGAGCAGCTATCAAATGGAGGATAATCAGACAAGAAACTTAAGACAATACCGAAACAACATTGGGAATTCGTTGTCAGCGTTAAGAGATACATCATACTGTCATTGAGAATAGCAAGGAGTGGGTCCATTGTCCCTTCGAGTGCAACAAAACGATACGAACACGATAATTATGTAATACATTGCACGATGCAAAGCCCAATTACTTGGTATTCCTGAAGTCTCCCGGATCATTCGTGCGCGTTATGCGAAATTGAATAATAACGTCGGATTATTAATAAATCGCGCGTCTCTCTCTCTTTCTCTCTCTCTCTCTCTCTCTGCCGCATATGCTTTTCTCTCGCGGAACGAAATGTCGAGAGGTCGAAAGCGAGAGAAGAGAATCCGTGCGCTTCAGGAGAAGATAGAGAGAAAGGAGAAAGAGAGATAGAGAGATGGAAGAGGACACGCGGCACCGCCTACGAACAGCGGCTCTCACCAAATAAGATTCGATTGTGCATCGTAGTACGGCCATCGTTCGCGACGAACATATCGTAAACAACGGGTCCCTTTTCAGCTCGCGTTAACTCGCCTTCATTCGATTTCCTCTGCCTCTCTCGTCTCGTCTTTTCTCTTCTCTTCTCTTCCTCCGCCTGTGCCCCTCCTGGCCACCCGCTCTTGACCTCCGTGACTCTCCGCGTCGTGCAGCCGCCGATGCTGCACGTACAGAGTACGTATAGTTCCCGGTATTTCGGCGGTTTGTACGTGATCCTTTGTGCGAGCGAGGCACACGTCCGCTACCGGTGTCTTTTCTCGAAGCGATATTTTCGCGTGATGGGTCTCCTCAGTAGCGTAACGATTCACGTCGACCAAAGGACGAAAAGGAGTAACTAACAGTAAAAATTGAAGAGGCAAATAAGGAGTACAGCACGGATCTCTTAGTGCTATTAAATACTAATATTATATAATATTAATTGATAGTGGGAGGATAATTATGTCCAGCATGTCAAACGCACGTATCGAAATTTTTCTTCGATTAACGTACGCGGCGAATTTATCTTTTATACTTAGACCGATCCTTGAGTCCCAATTTTATATATATATATATTTAAAATTCCCAAAACCCATTAAACCGATGACTCAAATAGATTCATTATATATGTTGCGAAAAAACTGCCTCCGTCAGGACTCGAACCTGGGAACCTCCTCACTTTCCGGGCGGGACGCCTTTCCATTCGGCCACCGAGGCTTCGACAGTAACTCGCAACACAATGTTTATAAATTCTCTAAGGAGTAAGTTGAGCGAAAGAAAGAAAGAGTCGATCTCGTAAGAGATGTTATTATACGAGAGAGAGATAGCAT